TTATGATACAAATTTCGTTTTCTATGATAATCTACTTCGCAAATTAGGTAATATTTCCCCAAAATTCAAAAATCTACTTCCCGAAAAGTCGATAATCTACTTTCCCGAAAAGTAGAAAATCTATCTACTTTTCAGGAGAGTATATAATAACTTTCGGAAAGTAGATATTTCCATTTTTATAATACAAATTTCCCGTTTTCTGATAATCTATTTTCGGAAAGTTGGTTTAATAACAACTTTCGATGGTATATTTCCCATTTTTATGATACAAATTTCGTTTTCTATGATAATCTACTTTGCAAAATTAGGTAATATTTCCCCCAAAATTCGAAAATCTACTTCCCCGAAAAGTCGATAATCCTACTTTCGAAAAGTAGAAAATCTATCTACTTTTCGGGGAAAATCTATAACTTTCCGGAAAGTAGATATTTCCCATTTTTATGATACAAATTTCCCGTTTTCTATGATAGTATCTATTTTCGGGAAAGTTGGTTATCTAACAACTTTCCCGGAAAGTAGATATTTCCATTTTTTATGATACAAATTTCCCGTTTTCTATGATAATCTATTTTCGGCTAAATTTGGTTATCTAACAACTTTCGGGAAAGTAGATATTTCCCATTTTTTATGATACAAATTTCGTTTTCTATGATAATCTATTTTCGGAAATTTGGTTTATCTTTCAACTTTCGGAAAGTCGATATTTCCCATTTTTGATACAAAATTTCCGTTTTTCTGAAATCTGTTTTTTTCAGGAAATTTGGTTATTATTTCAACTTTCGGAAAGTAAATATTTCCCATTTTTATGATACAAATTTCCCGTTTTCTATGATAATCTGTTTTCAGGGAAATTTGGTTATCTAACCAACTTTCCCGGAAAGTAGATATTTCCCATTTTTATGATACAAATTTCCGTTTTCTATTGATAATCTACTTCGAAAATTAAATTAATATTTCCCCAAAGATTCAATCTACTTCCCCGAAAGTCGATAATCTACTTTCGAAAAGTAGAAAATCTATCTATTCGGAAAGTTATAACTTTCGGAAAGTAGATATTTCCCATTTTTTATGATACAAATTTCCCGTTTTCTATGATAATCTGTTTTCGGCAAATTTGGTTATCTAATAACTTTCGGAAAGTAGATATTCCATTTTTGTGATACAAATTTCCGTTTTCTGATAATCTACTTGTGGTAATTTTGTATCTATTGAATGATAATCTACTTTCCGAAAGTGAAAATCTATCTACTTTTCGGAAATGATAATCAACTTTCCCGGAAAGTAGATATTTCCACATTTTTATGATACAAATTTCGTTTTTCTATGATAATCTATTTTCGGGAAAGTTGGTTTTCTAACAACTTCCCGGAAAGTAGTATTTCCATTTTTTTGATACAAATTTCGTTTTCTGTGATAATCTATTTTCGGTAGATATTTCCATTTTTTTGATACAAATTTCCCGTTTTCTTGATAATCTATTTTCGGCAAATTTGGTTATCTATTAACTTTCCGGAAATAGATATTTCCCATTTTGTGATACAAATTTCGGTTTTCTATGATAATCTGCTTCTTAAAAATTAGGTAATATTTCCCCCAAAATTCAATCTCTTCCCGAAAGTGATCCCCAAGGGCTTTTCCAGACCCAGGGACCCTCCCAGGGGCGGTGGCAATACCAGGGGCCCTCCCAGTAACGGAGACGCCTCCCAGGGACCCTCCTAGGTGATGCAGCGCTTTCAGGGGCGTTAGGAACCCCCAGGGGCCCTCCCATGGGCGGAGGAGTCCCAGGGATCCTCCTAGCGGCTGCAACGAACCAAGGGCCCTCCCAGGGGTGGTGGCGACCTTAGGGGCTCTCCCAAGTGGCTTCCAGGGGCGGTGGAGCTTTCGGGGGACCTCACAGGGGCGGTGGTACCTCAGGTGCCCTCTTAGGAACTGCGGTGCCCCCCAGAGATCCTTCCAGGTGCCGCAACGTTCCCAGGGACGTTGAGGAACCCCCAGGGGCTCTCCCAATGGCGGCGGACTCTCTAGGGATCCTCCCAGGAGTGGTGGAGCCCCAAAGGGCTCTCCTAGGAACGGGGGCGCCCCCCAAAGGCCCTGCGAGGCGCTGTAGCGCTCCCAGGGGCGTTGGGGCACATCCAGGAGCTCTCCCACGGGCGGTGGGGCTCTCAATCGATCTCTCACCGGCAACCGCTCACCAACGAGCCCTCCCAGGAACGGGGGCGCCCCCCCCCCAGGGGCCCTCCCAGGTGCTGCAGCGCTCCCAGAGGCGTTGGAGCACCCCCAGGGCCTCTCCCAGGGCTGGTGGTGCTCCTATGGACCCTCCCAGGCGCTGTGGGGTCTCCGAGGGACTCTCCCAGGGGCCTACCATGGCCCCTGACAAGGGCACCATGGGACCCTGTAACTTGCTTTGTCGTTGTGTCACATAAATTACATACGTCCAGGAGTCCCTTACTTAATTCTGATTGGTGGATTATTCTCTTAACCCGCCAAATTACAGCCAATAGGAGAAGAGTGCAGTCAGTCAGCACAACAACACAACTTATGTTTTCCTGTTGGATATTATTGTTCGTTACGACCTAGCTGCATCTTCTAACACTTATGACATTGAATCTTAACAGCCACTTCGATCATTATTGCAGCTGACAGAGACCTTTCTGTTGCTCTTCACAGACAGTTTGGTTCTCAATTTCCGCGGCATTTAATTTATGAAACAAACATAGAACAACGATCCCTTATGTTATCACTCTTGTCATGGGTACGCATGACGTTTTTGTGCCACTAATCACTAAACTCTACTTCTGACAACGAAGAAAGTCTCCGATTCACGCTTGGACACTTCCCCGAATCCCGTACCATTCCAGTTTAATTCTCAGCCTTTCATGGGGTGTGCAGTCGAAAGCTTGTTCTAGAATTTGAGTCCAAACATCCAGCACCTTGAGAAACTGTGTTAAGCAGGAACGTCCCGGCATAAAGCCATGTTGGCAGTCCTCTACAAGGTTGTTTCGTAGTACATGTTCCATCGTGGCATCTCTGATAAGGCTCTCTAGTACTTTACACACTATGCTGGTCAGGGTTACTGGCCTATAATTATTCGTGGAGTGACGATCGCCCTGTTTGAATATAGGACTGCAAAAGAAAATATCAGATGTGGAAGAAATACCGAAGCATAGGGCATCATGCGGGTTATGTGGCCAACCAGGAAATTAGAGAATGATTCAAAATCTTTTTGTACATATGCCAGGAGGAAAATGAGAACCAAGGATACTGTCGGCCCTCTAAAGGAAGAAACACAACAACGTGGGTCTGGGGGATGGCAGACAGACAGCAGTTGCCTTAAATGATTACTTTGCATCAGTATTCACACAAGAGACGATGGATAACATGCCAGTACCTGACAGAATGTATATCCTCAGGGTGGAAAATTAATTAAGAGAGATAACAATTACGGACGATATCATCAAAGAGAAATAGTTAGTTTGAAAGAAGTCAAAACCCCTAGAGTAGACGGAGCACCGACCAAGGTATTAAAAGAGGTGGCAAACAAGTTTGTTCACTACAAAGATTCTTATTCTTATTCAGGAAATCTCTGGATCAAGGAAAAGCGACTGAGGACTGGAAATAAGTCAACGCCACCCCAGTATCAAGGCAAGGTCCAATAGGTCAGATCTCAGAGATATTCCATATTTTGAAAGGGATGGAAAACGTGAATCCGGACCAGTTTTGGGGGCTGCTTACCACCAACACCAATAGAGGGATCCTACACGGGCCACTGATCTCTTTCACTCGGTATAGCCACAGTACAGTACAGTACATTACTTTACATTACATTACATTACAGTACATTACATTACAGTACAGTACAGTACAGTACAGTACAGTACAGTACAGTGCAGTGCAGTACAGTACAGTACAGTACAGTACAGTACAGTGCAGTGCAGTACAGTACAGTACAGTACATTACATTACATTATATTACATTACATTACATTACAGTACAGTACAGTACATTACATTACATTACAGTACAGTACAGTGCAGTACAGTACAGTACAGTACAGTACAGTACATTACATTACATTACAGTACAGTACAGTACAGTACAGTGCAGTGCAGTACAGTACAGTACAGTACATTACATTACATTATATTACATTACATTACATTACATTACAGTACAGTACAGTACAGTACATTACATTACATTACAGTACAGTACAGTACAGTACATTACATTGCATTACATTACATTACATTATATTACATTACATTACATTACAGTACAGTACAGTACAGTACAGTACAGTACATTACATTACATTACAGTACAGTACAGTGCAGTACAGTACATTACATTACAGTACAGTACAGTACAGTACAGTACATTACATTACATTACAGTACAGTACAGTACAGTACAGTGCAGTGCAGTACAGTACATTACATTACATTATATTACATTACATTACATTACATTACATTACAGTACAGTACAGTACAGTACATTACAGTACAGTACAGTACAGTACATTACATTACATTATATTACATTACATTACATTATATTACATTACATTACATTACAGTACAGTACAGTACAGTACATTACATTACATTACAGTACAGTACAGTGCAGTACAGTACATTACATTACAGTACAGTACAGTACAGTACAGTACAGTACAGTACAGTATGTATTCTATTATGCTTGGTAAACATATTTTATACTCTGTATAAGTATATATCTCTGCACCGGTTTTAATAGGAGCAAATTCTTGCTCTACTTTATATTCTCAATAACGAGCAGTCAACTGAATCACAATACAGTAGTTAGTCATCATAAAATACCATTTTCTCTTCTACTATCATAGAAACTATTATTTGGATAACTTATTTAATTTGTATACAAGACAAAACTCCAGGTGTGACAATTGGTGTGATACACCACAGTCATTTGATAAAATTACCATATAAGTTCATAAGGATTAGTTAACAAAACACTTTTATATTCTGAAAGAGTTAGGATTTTTATTTATGTTTACTTTCAAAGGTTCCAGGTTTCGTCTTTGGTGAAAATTTTACAAACCGACAACTAACACAAACTAAGCGAACCAACAAAACTTAAGCAAATGATTACAATTTAGAGAAACTATTTGTTGTGGCTTTGTCAAAAGCAGACATTGTGGCATCGCTTCCACTCTATACAACGGTGACCACGTCGGTAACCACAGCAGACGTCGCCACAGAAGTAGACATACAGCGAACACCACAGCACACCTTGAGAGCACAGCAGCACGAGCAAGAGGAGGCATCCCAGCGAGCCACAGCCGCAGAAGGACAGGAGGCAGTTGTTGGCCCCGTTAGTTCTCCTTCACGTACCACACCTCATTACGGCGGTCTGTGAGCTTCATCGGGGAATCGTAGCCAGCGCTGAGGAACACAAGCAAACATCATCAGAGAACTACACAAACTTCATCAAATTACACTAAACATTACACAAACATAACAGCATTGACGAATTGCTCATAACGTTCTCTCTTAACGTCATTGGCTTGGGATCGGTTCTATAAAAATATTTCTTAGTAATGTTAAGGCATTTGTGTATAAAAGACCTAGGGTACTTAAGGTTCAAGCCAATATTATAGATATATTTATATTCCTCAACAATGAATTCCGGACTGCATATTCTTAGAGCACGTAAGAACATTGATGAAAATACTGACTGTTTGATTCTATTATGGTGGGCAGAATAATAATGAATGTATGAACACACATTAGTAGGTTTGCTATAAATACTGAACTTAAAGGTGTTACCTATTCTGTGGATCAGACAGTCTAGGAATGGTAATTTATAGTCATGCTCTAATTTCACAGTGAATTTGATCGAGGGGGCTAAGTTGTTAAGTTGTGGTAGAAATGCTTTTATGTCCTCATTACATGGCCAAAGACATATTACATCATCTACATATCTAAACCAGACTGCTGAAGGTGGTAAAATGTTGCTTAGTAGTTTCCTTGTCGTTATCAGCATATATATATACATATATATATATCTTGATAAAATCACACGGGAAAATGGAAACAACGGAGTACCTTAGCTTTCGTCTTTATTCAAGACATCTTCAGAGGCAACTGTTGCCTCTGAAGATGTCTTGAATAAAGACGAAAGCTAAGGCACTCATCCTAAGTTAACCTAACTTAGCCTAACAACTTGGCTGGGGTAAAGTTTGATCTTCAGATATCGAAGGACATCATAAATGAGACCGAGTCATTTACCTCCACTTATCCCCTAATAACCAAGAGGTTATAACAACAATAACCACAAGTCATCCGCAGGCAAGATGATCCGTGACTTTTTTTAGCCTTAATGGGAAGATCATCCCTAACACACAGCAGCCCTACACATCAGTCTCACCTGTAGAAGCTTGAGAAGTCGACACCAGTCTCTCCTGCGGCCTGAAGTGACTCCTTCAGGATCTTGGCTTGTGACTCCCACACGCTCTCACGCATGGCGTATCCTCCGAAGGTCCTGATCCGGTAGGAAGAGCATCGTGATTATTTTGGGGGGTAAAGCTTTACAACGTTTGAATACCTAAACTCTATCTTGTTTTTGACAGAGACGCAGAGACGAACAGCACCCACCTGGTCAGGACGGTGTGGGCAGGGCGCTCCTCAATATAGACTCCTTTGTTTGTAGGTGCCGGGGGCGCTGCCTGGTTGGCCTCCGGCAGGTAGAAGCACATCTGATAACGCTTACTGCCATCGGGCTGCGTCTGGGCCAGCATGGTGACGGGGGATGTCATCGGCATCTCCTCCTCTGGCAGACACAGAGAACATACAGGTAATATTCTTTTACACACACACACACACACACACACACACACACACACACACACACACACACACATTTCTTAAACAGTCACACGATTTTTAAAAAGATCGACAGCATCAAAATTTAATTAACGCTTCAATAAAACCCAAACTTTACATATTACTCTTGCGTTAAAATCTTTGAACTACTGTAGATAAAAGCAACAAATTCTTCACTGCCTCCTCCAACACCTGGCCAGCTGTGTATAATAACTCATCATCAATAACTAACGCCTCAGTATATGGAGTCACTCATTACTGGTAACCTTGATACCTCCTGTGTAATGACCTCACTTTGTTCATTGCTGCCGGTGATATATCTGAAGAGGGCAAAGAAGGACTTCCTCTGACTCGAGGAGCTGTAGGAGTTCTTGGGGTTGTCGTGACACACCCACTTGGCCGGCTGGTACACCCTCTCCTGGTAGTCCTGCAGGAAACACACCACATCATCCTTCAAACTTGCTCGACCATTATTCAGGAAATTGATATCGTATACGTGTAATATTTTGGTTTAAACTGCTGTGACTCTACTGTATAGTGTTCTATAACCGATGGTATCACCTCCCCCCCCTCCCCACCCTGGTCACTTGTCTACAGGACCAGGTACAAGGCAACACTCACCTGCCCCATCCTGGTCACGCTGTAAGGCGCCGTCTCATCTGGTTCTTCCCCATACTAGAAGAAAAAAAAAAAACATTAATTCCCTTACGTCACAACATGAGAATTAAATACTAAAAAATAAAAATAAAACAATAACTAAAATGTAATCGATACGTTCAACTTTTACTTCAGTTGTTAAAGTAAATTTTCTTTAACTCGGGACAGAAGACAATGTGCTTACTAATGGGTAATGAGAAGAGAAGAAAGGTTTAAGCAGAGATATTTTGTCTGGCTAAACACACACACACACACACACACACACACACACACACACACACACACACACACACACACACACACACAACCCTTAAAGTTTCTTGGTTATATCGACAAGTACTCGTCAGCCGAAGCTATGCGCTGTTCCTCTCTTATTAAAAAGTTGATGATACTTATCCGGAATTAAACATTTGACTTATATTATGGACAAGTAATATTTCCACTATAAATACACTAATTTATGATGTTATTACTTCTCTCAATGTTGAATTAAAGTGATACATGTTTATTGTAGTTTTAATGGTTAGATTACAGTTGTATATTATCTAGATCCTCATGTATTATAAGTTACAAAAGGGGATACAGCATTACAGTAAATCAGCATCTTTTTTTTTCTGAAGGGCATAGTACAATACATTACAAGTTACAGTAATTTAGTAACTTCTATGTTTGGAATGCCTCGTTATTTGTCTCCAGTAATAACTATTGTTCTTTCTCAAGTAACACACACACAACTTGTAAAACCTTCATTCAACACAAAGTACACCAACACTAATCCTCACCTGCGCCCCGACCAGCTGCAGCAGTAAGAGAGTACAGGTAACCGCTACCACCTTCATTGTATCCTGCAGGGAAGAACAACAGGAAAATAAATCAACAGAAAATGGGAAAAAATTATTGGTGAAGTAGAATGTTTTAAATATTAATTATTATCGGCTAAAATGAGAAGAAAAAATATTACTAGATATAGGAAACATAAAGTAGGTTAAGTAGGATAGATGTTTACTGCTGGGTGTACGGGGGAACTCTAGATGCGAACCAACGATCCTTAGGACGGAATTTGAACGATGCAACCACAAGCCACCATATCCTATAATGAACTGTCACCATCAAATTTTCGCATCTCTTGTATCGTACATAAATACTGATAGTCACACCCTCATAAACTTAGGAATTTAACTACAGTATGAAACTCTTACCGCTGTTTACTCACTTTTCAAACACATGACGCCACAACGACTAACACCCCTCACTCCCTCCACCTACCCCCCCCCATCACTTCCCTCCATCCCTCCTTTCCTACCTTCCCTCCCTCTTTCCCTCCGTCATATCTTCAGTTCCTATCACCTTAAGAGCATAGTTCTAACTAGCCAAATTCCTCTTAATCACAGTATTTAGTTTTACACTTGGGTTAACTTAGCATTAACCAATATAAACTTTCGACATTAACCTGGATACACTCTTTTTACACTCACATTAACCAGGATGCACTTTTTTAACACTCTGCTTCTCTATTCTCAATACAGTACACTTCTTTCTACACTTACTATCAGTACACGGACAAAACCCCACGGGCCAATTTACTCTACACAATTCCTACTACACAAAAGCCTATTAACTAAAGAATACATTAGAAAAAAATCATAAAAGCGTAAGTTTCGTTCACACTGTAATAACGTTGTGTGTTTGATGAGAGGCAAATCCCCTACAAATATTTCGTCTCACACTACACCCACCTACACTTAATACACCTTCCCTACACCTGAGGGAAATACACTACAAGTCTCCACACCTCACATTACACCTATCTACCCTTAGTACACCTTCTCTGAATCTTACAAATTAACTATATGTCTCTAAATCTCAAATTACGCTCACTTACACTTAGTACACCTTCCCTATACTCTAACACGTCTCCACACCTTACCAGCTATGACAGACGAGTGACAGTGAAGGTTGAGGCTACACAGGTAATATATATATGCGTATGTTCTCTTCCAGGTTATATAAGCATACCAATTTTTGTTGAGTCATCGTGATACAACAACTTTTTACGTAACAAAACACCAGAATTATCAGGTGATTCTTTTTACGAATTTTCCCTCATATGTGTTTCCATATTAAGGTTGATTATGTTTGTTTGTGTTTTATAAGTAATGTATAGAGAAAATACTAAACTTTAGATGTAATAAAGTTATCCGTTAGTTTGGAACGAAAGACACATATTCTCTTGGCTGGAGACTTAAAGCAACTCAATGAAGGCATTATATATGAGGGGGGGGGGGAGAGGTGGAGGGCGGGCGGAAGGAGGAGATGGAGGGGGGAAGTGGAGGGGAGGAAGTAGGAGAGGGGGAGGAAGAAGTGGAGAGGAAAGAGGAGGATAGGGATGGTGGAGGAAGAGAGGGAGTGGTAGAAGGATAGATGGGAAGGAGGAGAGGAAGGGAGAAGGAGGATGGGGTAGATGGGGGAAGAGGGACGGAGGGGGGGGGGGAATCACCAACCTGGCCAAATGACTAACTGGTCACACGGGTGAGACGGAGCATACATCCTACTGATCAGTAAGACGTCACCAGCACCAGCGGACCTTGTCATTCCTCACAACTGGATACAAGTTTATTTATATATACTGCACGATACATATCAGTGGTTTTTGTTGTCCAATGGTCGCCTGTTGTCCAGTGGTCCCTGTTGTCCAGTGGTCCCTGTTGTCCAGTGGTCCCTGTTGTCCAGTGGTCCCTGTTGTCCAGTGGTCCCTGTTGTCCAGTGGTTCCCTGTTGTCCAATGATCCCTGTTGTCCAATAGTCCCTGCTGGCCAGTTGCCCCTGTGGTCCAGTGGTCCCTGTTGTCCAGTGGTCCTTGTTGTCCAGTGGTCCCTGTTGTCCAGTGGTCCCTGTTGTCCAGTGGTCCCTGTTGTCCAGTGGTCCCTGTTTTCCAGTTGCCCCTGTGGTCCAGTGGTCCCTGTTGTCCAGTGGTCCTTGTTGTCCAGTGGCCCCTGTTGTCCAGTGGTCCCTGTTGTCCAGTGGTCCCTGTTTTCCAGTGGTTCCTATTGGTAATATTGGTCTCCATTGAGATTTTTTTTATTTTACCGAGGACCGCAGCTCGTTTATTGTGCACCCGATTCTCATCCTGTGAGCGGTAGCGCAAAAAGGATTACAGAGCAGAGGCCACAAAGGGTGTTTATCAGATCCCATCGGTCAGTATCTTGTGGCGTTTAATATTACAGAGTATTTCCAGTACATTGTTTGTTTAGTTCTGTACACAGGAGTTCACTTGGCTACTGTACCAGGTGCAAGATGCCGATAAACACCAGTTGTAATGTATCATCGGTCTTGCCATCCCAGCTAAAGTGCTGTACCATTGCGCGAACAGTATGTCTGGACCTGTCCTTATAAGGTTCTATTTTTTAACAGTTAGAGTGTGTAGCCATATGTTCGGTCGGGTACTTTATATTTAACTTTGTTCACATATGTCTTAGGGTTATACTGCTAGAGGTACTTATTTTCTAACCTAAGTCTGTATATGTCAAATTGTTTAAAAATCATCAACAAGTTCTTTTCTGATTACAGTTTTCCAGGTTCTGTTTGACACACCTCGATTGTATTCAACAGTGGCCCCTGGAAAGTGGCCCCCGTTTATTATTGGCCCCCCACTGATAATTGGCACCCGTTGACAAGTGGCCCTGGTTGGTAAATGGCCCCATTGATGACAGTTCCCGCCCCCTTTCCTCTCCATTGTTAAGCCAGTTGTTATTGTAATAATAGTATGTCATAGTAGCGTATTGTTGTCTCATTTTACAACAGTCGGCTAGCTGACTCACAACAAAAGTGACCAAAACAACTCTTCCTCTAGTTTATTTCTTCCCTGGCGAGCAAAACTCAGTCCACGTAGAAGACAGCCACTGTACACCAAGTCATAGTGATATATTTTGTTTTGTGTTACTGGTGGTGTAAGAGACCCTCATTCTAGTGTGAAAATATCATGGTTATGGTCAAGGTGCTTCTCTAACATTATTCTTTTATCTTTCATTGTATCTCTAAAATATCTCATTATTCTTGCTCTATAAATTTGTTGTCATTGTTCTCGTTGTTTGGGTTATTCTTTATTTGTTTTGTTTTTGTCTATTCTCCTGTCTGCTGTAGTTGTCGTTACCTGGACAGTATTATACTCAGTGTCTGACTGGCGCGTTGGCGGTAACCAGCGTCTCACTACTGACCACAGTTGTAACAGTCCAGGAATGGTATAACTTTCTTCCTCTGCTCGACAGGTGACTCAGACATTGATACCCACCCTCGTGCCCCGCCAGTCATACCACCACCAACAGTCTCAGATTTTCCGGGAGAGGAATCACTAAATCTTCCATCTCTCAACCGTGCCTGGGATTCACTGACCCAGGCTGCAGCCATTCAGACAAATAAGAGGAGTAAGGTGGGTGGAGCACCTCCCACTAATGCTTCTCTGAGTGTGTATTATCTGTGAGGGCCACTCGGGGGAAACAAATTTAATGTAAAGAGGAATCTGGGGTTTATTCTGTTTATTTTGTATTAGATTTACCAAGACGTGGAGTGACGTGATGTGGCCTGGTCGAGTGGCGGCTGTTTAGAGGCTCCTCACACTCCGACATCGTGTTGTCAACTAAACTCTGGTGCGGACTACATGAATATTTCAACTGTGTTGCCTACAATGTTGACAGCTTAAGGCGGGTCCACACCAACGCAACATTATTGCAAAAATTCTGGATAACAGCTATCAACAAAGTTGAAATATTCATGTAGTCCGCACCAGAGTTTAGTTGACAACACGATGTCGGAGTGTGAAGACGGGGTTATAGCAGCGGCTGCAGCTATAACCCCGTCCTCGCCGCTCTTGGGTGTGTCCCACACTAAGTAGAAAACAACACAGTGGCGCTGACCTAACTGAAGATGTAACTTATAACGACATCGACCCACTGACCTTCAAACAGACTTTGAATATTTGCTCCGAACTATTTGACCCAAAATAACAATAATGAACAACTAAAGACTGGCAATATCCATCACAGGACGACTGACATTGACACTGATTTACAGCGACACGTGATTCACTTAGCAGCTTAATATACAGCCAAGGAAAAAAAAAGTCCTGTCATTTCTCCGTCCCATCTATAAACCCTGAGCCTCATGAACCTGTGAATCCGAGACATCACACAGTGTACCATCTACAACAACGTTTAATGTATCAGATTCACAGATTCATTAGACTCGGGGTTCATGGATGGAAGGGAGGACTCGAAGAACTTTTTCCCTGATTATACCTGTTCAAAATACCAAGGCAAACCATCTCGAAGATAATTCCAGAAGAGATTATGTGTATGTAATAATTTATGTGTAGCACAAAACAAAATGGTATGCAGGATTTTATTGAAGTATCAAATGTACACAGAAAAGATTACAAACAATAGGTAAAAACCAACACTTAAATACATATTGCAACAAATGTAAATATATGACTATAGCAAAGAGTCAGACACAGGAGTTGGTGCTTATTATTTCGTCTAAAAAGTTGACGTCAGGATTACTTCACAAGCTGCAAGTGTCATGGAATAATTTTTCTCTGAAGTACTTAAATGTGGACAGTTCAAGTCCACATGACTCTGTTTCCAGGACGTTGTATGTTCAAGAAACTAACTTTTAGATATTAACTGTCTAGAATATTGTGATCCTACAAAAGGGGGTGAAATGAGGTGGACGAGTGGATACAACAACCGCCTTTTGTCCTAAGAGTTGATGATTCGATCCCAGGGCATCCCCAATCCTCCTTACTATAAATGGGATACTGACAATACAATCTCCTTACATCCTGAGGGCTTAGTACACACTGCGTTGTATCCACACTGTCCCTAATGAACCGTCATACAATACCTATAGGGTGGAAGCCAGAGGATTCACTATCTGGGATACTGCACCTCCAGAATGACAAGACGCGCAGCACTATATTTCTAGGGATCTGAAGCCTCGGGGTATCTGTTGTTGAATCACTGTAAATCCCCAAGATAGTGCAGCTGGGAGATCGTTCTCTATCTCCACATTCTACTGAAATCCTGAGGCTTCACTTTCTGAAATACTGACTCGAGTAAACTGAGATCAAGAGGATTCATTTATTGCAACATGTATGTCACAGGACTCGAGGCTTCACGTACGAGACACAAAAGTGGAAGTCTATGATGTAAATAATATCTCTTGACGGACAGGAGCGTAGGGATGGTAACACTCTCTCACCTCAGCCGTCCACACATATCCTAAAACAACATCAAGACTATATACAGGCTATGTACAGACTACTATAGCACACGTTGCTACTTTGTTTTGGGTCTATAGTCCCTCACTCGCAAGACTGACAACATCTTGCAAGTATCTGGGCGACAACTTATGAAAATAATAATCTTTGTACACTTTTTTGTATGTAGAAGGAGAAAGTTTGGTGTAATTTGATCACTATTCACTAAAGGTTTTTGATTGTTTAGCTATTTATGACGACACATCACCGTAAATACATTAATTAATTACTTGTTGATGGATTAAAGTCGCATCGAGTAAAACAACTACATTTATCACTTTTAATAACAAGGTCTACTGCATCTTCTCCTTTTTCCACCTACGAGTGAATGAACTGGTGGTGGAGTAGAGGCAGTAGGCGAGGCAGTAGGCGAGGTAGCAGGAGATAAAGCCCAGTAGCAGCAGGAAGGCAGCCACGTCAAGGGCGAAATACTGAGAGAAGGAGAGGTGAGCGCCAGGCATACGGAGGTGCGTCAGGGGGCCGTGACGGTGGACCCGTTCCACCCACCGCGACGCCCGCTCAGCCCCAGACTCCTCCTCCTTCCATTGGGCGGAGAACCTCGCTGCCGTCTTTCTATACCTGAAGGAGTACACCACCTTTATATACCCGTGTGATACACCTAATGAGAGTTTACTACATTAACACGTTACTTATATGAGTATTACTTTATATGAAAGAGTTTGTAGCATATTCAATTCAGATTTACTTATTGATATCAAGAAATCTGTGTTTGTGGTCCATGTAACACATAGTTAGTTGTACACACACACACACACACACACACACACACACCTTATACTACCCATCACCACACTACACATATAAATGCATTCATATTGCATGGACTGTACAGTACCTGCTGACTAACCAAGATGGTGATGACTGAACGAGTGTGGTTGATGGTGGTAGTGATGAGGTTAATGGAACTCACCTGGTGTGGTTAACGGAACTCACCTGGTGTGGTTAACGGAACTCACCTGGTGTGGTTAATGGAACTCACCTGGTGTGGTTGAGGACGGTGGTGATGGTAGTATAGGCCAGGTCGTGGGTGATGGCCTCCTTGTGTATCATCAGGCCCAGCCCCCGGTCCACCACACGTCTGGCATTGTCGCCCTGGTCAGCGAACACTGGGAGGGCGACGATGGGCACCCCATGGTACACCGCCTCGTTCACCCCGTTCTGCCCACAGTGGGTCACGAACAGCACGGTGTTGGGGTGACCTGTGGAGCCGCATGACCTGATCACTACTCGATAAAAATATTCATCTATGGAGCATTTTAACCCACTGTTATAAAGCCTAAACGTGCTTCAGAATAATGAGTGTGTGTACCCTGCAGCAGCTGGGAAGTCACTGATCACCACCGCCGTGTTTACCTGTCTCCATACTCAAATGGTGTTGCCAGAAACATAACTTTGTATTTTATTGAGGCAAGTGAATTAGTTTCCATGACTTCTGAAAATAATGTACTGTACATTTTTTTTTTAATTTAGTGAATTTTAGTAGAATTATATTGTTGACAAGAATGAAAATGTAAACTTTAAAACAAGGAAACATTTAACGTGATTTCCTTTGTTAGTTCCATGGTCCCTGCTTGGGCCTACACTGACGTCACACCTGTGAGTACAAGGTCAAAGGGCTAAGACATCATATACAAGAGATTAAGTTAATTTTCTCAAGGAGTTAAGTCATCGTCATCAAGGAGCGAAGATAACTTACTGTACTCATGGACTGATTACGTACTCAAGGGGTTAATTTACTTAGATAAAACACAACTACTGCGGTAAATACCGAGGACGTCATGTTGAGGGAACCAATCCACCACCATCACGTTGTCAGGGACGTAAAGTAGAAGCGCCGCGTTGAACCTGACCAGCACCCGCTGTTCCAACCTGGCGAAGGCGGTGATGAAGGCGTCCATCACGTGTTCCGGGACGGTGGTGGCCTCGTAACCAGTGTACCCCAGCGAGAACACCACAACCCCCGACTCTGCCTCGCTCACCTGGGGGAAGATACGTGTACCTTACCTGGGAAACAGTACACCTGCCTCGCTCACCTGGGAGAAGACACGTGTACTATACCTGGGGAAGAGTACACCTGCCTCGCTCACCTGGGGAAAGACACGTGTACTTACCTGGGGAAGAGTACACCTGCCTCGCTCACCTGGGGAAAGACACGTGTACCTTACCTGGGGAAGAGTACACCTGCCTACACACGTGCCTCCTGGGGAACTTCTGGGAGAGACACGTGTACTATACCTGTGCTCACCTTGTACCTTACCTGGGAACAGTACACCTGCCTCGCTCACCTGGGGGAAGACACGTGTACTATACCTGGGGAAGAGTACACCTGCCTCGCTCACCTGGGGAAAGACACGTGTACCTTACCTGGGGAACAGTACACCTGCCTCACTCACCTGGGGAAAGACACGTGTACTATACCTGGGGAAGAGTACACCTGCCTCGCTCACCTGGGGAAAGACACGTGTACTATACCTGGGGAACAGTACACCTGCCTCGCTCATCTAAGAACCCCTGTACCTTACCTCCCAGCATTGATAACTTCCTAAATCGTATTCTCCTTCCTTCAAACATAAGATGCCACTGTAAAGTAACTTATAGTACAGTGATCCATCGTTACTAGAGGACGTCTTGTCAGAGCAGAATTCTATCAGACTATATTTGCTATTCACTGAAGTTTCCCCAAATAAAATAAAATAAATCAGTCGTCTACGGGCAAAAGGCGCAATTTAAGGAGAATTCATGGACCCTAGGATCCCCCTGGGCAGTGCAGGATGTGAGGCCCGTCCTACACAACACAAATGTCCTTGCAACTGCCTTCGGGAGCTAAAGGTCAGTATAGATTACTTAAGCACGTGGTTACAGAACTGAGTTAACTACAGCTACGTCTACAGGGGCTGGGTCTTACTGTAGCGTATGAGATGATGGAAAAAAATAAAAATTAAAGGTGTATTTTTACGAATTAATTAAGTCATTTTAAGTCATTATATATATAAAACAGAGATAAGATTATGACCCTGAAGATGAGGACTTCCCAGTAACAGGTAATACTTCATCCGGCCTTTGTGTGTGTGTGTGTGTGTGTGTGTGTGTGTGTGTGTTGCTACATAACTAAAAACACAAAGAATATTAACCTACCCATCGATCAATCTCGTGAGGTAGGGAGGCAGGAGGACCACACTGGATACAGCCGATGTACTGGACGTGTGGAGGCATCAGCTTAGGGTAGTCGATGAACCAGTGAGAGTGGACGAGTATCACCTCCATATCCCGCAGCAGGTCTCGGCTCCCTGGACACCCGGGCACCAGCCTCTGACGACACACACACACATTACACACACTATACCATGTTAGGTGTGTCGAGCAATAACGTCACACGAGAGGTTAACTAATACATACAATAATACTCGCTGGCAGTAACTTTTTTATACCGGGATTTTCGCCATTAGATGATCGAACATGAGCCCAAAGTCTCCTAAAATTCTGAACATACTGAAGATCTCACCTACAGTTCCTTGAAGCTCGCTGTGTCAGTTTGTGTGATAATAAAAGGTATTTTATTATATTTTTTTCCGTCGATGATGTCATAACATGATCGTTTGTTTACATGGCACATATTGATCCAGAAACCTGAGTGTAGGAAGCAACTGTTCCTCCCACAACCACCGGGCGAAGGTTTCTGTTAGCAGTATGTGGCATTTATTGTTATTTTTAATGTTAAATATAGCACAAATTATATAAGGTTAAAGCAGTAATTTTATTTGTAAACAACAAGAGGTCAAGTGGTCACCTTGATGTGGCTGTCTATGAGGCTGAAGTGGTAGGTGATGACAACAGTCTCAGCCAGCAAGACAACAGTGTTCCACACCCGCTCCAGGAAGGTCATGGTGGCCCCCACCTCGCTCAACAGGTTGGGCACCAGAGCCGGAGACTGGAACACACCCGCTGCCCTTGACTGTGACCCAAACAACACCAATGACCTTGTTAATAACTGCTAATTATGAATGAACAACATAAAACAAAACAAAGTGATTCCATTTAGGAAATCACAAGTGCTACTTAACGAGCGCACGTACGTACATAAGTGACAGACCATATAATTATGTGATAATTAAGCGTAAAGAACAAGTAATCTGTTAAGGAGTATTATACCTCTTACTTAAACATCGTGTGAAATATATAATGAAGCTCACGAGGAACACTGCTCACCTCGCCCCCCTGGAAGGAGAAGCCCCAGAAGCCGACGACGGGCAGACCGAGGGAGTGAGCGAGGGCCAGGGAGCACTCGTTACCGATGATGTCCACCAGAGCCAGGGAGAAGTTGGCCCGTCTCAGCCTCCTGATCAGTTGTACGTCCCCCAGCAGCGTGAGGCAGTGGGCGTCGATGAGTCGAAACACATCCGTCGGGATCTGAAGGAAACGAGAAAAGATTGTGGTGGCCAGAGCTTGAGGGGGAGTTGTGGTGGTTGAAGGGCGGGTTTCTCTGGGTGGTACTGGGTTGTGGTGGGTGGTACTGGGTCGTGGTGGGTGGTACCGGGTTGTGGTAGGTGGTACTGGGTTGTGGTGTGTGGTACTGGGCTGTGGTGGGTGGTACTGGGTCTAGGTGGGTGGTACTGGGTCGTGGTGAGTGGTACTGGATCGTGGTTGGTGGTACTGTGGTGGGTGTACTGGTCGTGGTGGGTGGTACTGGGTCGTGGTGGGTAGGTACTGGGTACTGGGTTGTGGTACTGGGTGGGTAGTACTGTGGTGGGTGGTACTGGTCGTGGGTGGTACTGGGTGGGTAGTACTGGACTGGGTCGTGGTGGGTGGTACTGGATCGTGGTGGGTGGTACTGGGTACTGGGTCGAATCGTAATGGGTAAGGATAATATGTAATGGTAGGTGTGGGTGGTAGGCGGGGGTGTGGTAGGTGGGGGTGGTAGGTGGTGGGGGGGTTGGCTAGATAACAGTAGAGAGAGTGTAGGTTGTGAGGGGTTATGGTAGGCGTTAATGGTAAGTATTAGGGTAGTCATGGTGGGCGGTGGAGTGATCATGGTAGATGGTGCGAAATATATGGAAGCAGATATCAATTTCCCATCAAGGAGTCAGAGATGAATGAAGGTGTGTCAGGTATAAGGCCAGGTGTAGGCCAAGTACAGTAATCAACCACAAACACACACACACACACACACACACACACACACACATCCACACACACACACACACACACATCCACGCACACACAAAACAAGTACTGGAGACCGGTTGCTCATGGTATGTCCGAAGGTCTATTCTACCGTTCAGGGCAACGGCCAAGAAACCAGAACCCCCGTGGGTCAGTCAGGGTGTAGGTGGGTTAAGGAGTTAGAGGGTGAGGGTGTAAGTGGGTCAGGGAGTAAGAGAGTCAAGGTGTAGGTGGGTGAGGATGTAAGTGGGTCAGGGAGTAAGAGAGTCAAGGTGTAGGTGGGTGAGGATGTAGGTGAGTCAAGCTGGAGGTGAGTCAAGCTGGAGGTGGGTCATGCTGGAGGTGGGTCATGCTGGAGGTGGTTCAAACTGGAGGTGGGTCAAGCTGGAGGTGGTTTAAGGTGGAGGTGGGTCAAGCTGGAGGTGGATTACGCTGGAGGTGCGTCATGGAAACTGGAGGTGGGTCAAGGGGACAAGCTGAGGTGGTTCAAGCTGGAGGTGCAAAGTGAGTTAAGCTGAGGTAAGGCTGGAGGTGGGTCAAGCCGGGGATGGCTGGAGGTAGGTTAAGCTGGAGGCTGGAGGTGGTAAGCTGGAGGTGGGTCATGCTGGAGACTGGAGGTGGGTCAAGCTGGAGGTGGTTTAAGGTGGAGGTGGGTCAAGCTGGAGGTGGATTACGCTGGAGGTGCGTCATGGAAACTGGAGGTGGGTCAAGGTGGAGGTGGGTCAGTAGGATGTGGTCAAGGTGATCTGGAGGTGGGCTAGGCATGGAAACTGGAGGTGGGTCAAGGTGGAGGTGGTAAAAGCATGAGACATCTGGAGACAGTAGGCTGATCTGGACTAGGCTGCTGGCATGTGGTCATGATCTGGACTAGGCTGCTGGGATGTGGTCATGATCTGACTAGATGTGGTCATGATCTTGATGTGATCATGAGGACTAGGCTGCTGGGATGTGGTCATGATCTGGACTAGACTGCCGGGATGTGATCATAATCTGGACTAGGCTGCTGGGATGTGTGCCTTATGTCACACCACCTGGCTTATTGTATCATGAACTATGTAACTACGGCAACATTAAATAATAACTCCTTAAATATATCGTAACATTAATTTGTCTTCAATTTATGATACAAATATATTTTATCTATTGTCTCGTGTCTAGTGGTCGGGGGACATGACTTGATTGAATTCTCTCTCTCTCTCTCTACTAATTCACCTATGTGTCTCTCAACCTGCCACTAACTCCTTTTCAGTAACAACAACAACAATACGCCAACTCTACCTGCCACATGTGTCTTGGTCTCTCCCACAACATGGTAGTAGGTGGGTGGAAAGTCCCGTCTGGCTGCATATACGGATACCTGTCAACACGAAAAATAATCACCATCACCCATACACATACTGTCTACACGTCGTCGATAATTTCACTGCTGGCGGCGGGGACTGTACTCCTTCCTCCTCACTGTTGGTTCATCACACAACAGAAAGAAAATATTGTATGATTAAATTATATTCTCTTCTGACAATGGTATAGAGTCCCTCGTCACCATGGAAACGAGGGTTATAAATTCCATAAACATAATAGAGGAAACAAATGACAATCGATCATGGCCGACACTTTTTTTCTGTTTATAGTTACAAAGTTCATTTCTATCCTTTATTATTTGTTCATGGTGTTCACAGGATAGACCATAGGACCACACCACACACTATGGTATTACAGAACACCATACACCATTAGACCATCTTTCAGAGGACCACAGAACCACGCCCAGCTATTGACCGCCTGAATCAACACCCGCAGGTCTGTCAGCCACCCAGCGAACACATCACTACATTATTATTATCACCACACAGACTTTCTAACTGGTACTGTACATGGGAGTCGCCTACAGGAGTGTTGCGCCTTGTGTTACTGTAGCAACATTCACAGTGGCCTCCAGGAGATATTCAATTCCCAGAGAAACATGATTTTTTTTTTTTTACCAGACACGAACTCTTACATCTAGCGCCAGGCGAAGAGAAGCGGCCACACAGGCGAAAGAGGAGTAGTTCAGTCCTGTCTTCCTAATCCTGATGTTTTTACTGTCTTCAGAGGTGACCTTGGGATATAACCTCAGGGTATAGGTGTACTGTACCCACTCGTTCACTGCCTCACTCTCTCTTTCCCTCTCCTCCGACACACACACACACACACACACACACACACACACACATACACACACACACACACACGTTACATAATATTAGTGCTAAAAATATATACAATAAGATGTATTTACTACTAATAATATTTAAGGACCTCATCATTTTCCAGAACCGTGAGAAAGTATGTAGTGTGTGTGTATGTGTGTGTGTGTGTGTGTGTGTGTGTCCTATATAACTATCTCTCCATAATAAGTTGACATACAGAGTTAAGATGTCTCCATCGGTGTCACAACTCAGCACCATTCACCAGCAGCTAGTTTCTCCATACCTCCCCATTATTCATCCCCCTTCTCCTCCTCGTCTCCCCAAGCTCCCTAATCACCCTCAGTTCCCCATTTCCTCATTTTTTTACCTCTTCCCTCCCCAGTTGCGGTCAGTTGTGATTAGCCAGCGGTCTTCCACTCTCTCGCCCCTAGCCTTGTGAAAGAGACTTAGGGTTACTTGTAAGCCCGGACCTACGGCCTAGAAAACAGTGCGTTAATGTTCGAAATAAGGCAAACAGAGTATTGGGTTTTATATCTAGAAGTGTAAGTAATAAGAGTGCAGAGGTCTTATTGCAACTATATCTTGCGTTAGTCAGGCCGCACCTCGATTATGCGGTTCAGTTCTGGTGCCCCTATTATAGAATGGATATCAATTCACTAGAGTCGGTGCAGCGAAGAATGACGAAAATGATTCCGGGACTTAGAAACCTTCCATATCAGGATAGGTTAAAGAAACTAAACTTGCATTCCCTAGAAAGACGAAGAGCGCGGGGAGATATGATAGAAGTATTTAAGTGGGTGAAAGGAATCAATAAAGGCGATATAGATAAAGTTCTTATAATATCCGAGCAGGATAGGACTCGGAGCAAGGGATTCAAGTTGGATAAGTTTAGGTTTAGGAGGGAGATAGGAAGGAACTGGTTCATAAATAGGGTGGTGGACGAGTGGAACAAGCTTACCAACTTTGTAGTAAGTGCTGGAACGCTGGAGAGTTTTAAAAGGAGGCTGGATAGATTCATGGATGATAGAGAGTGGTAGTAACTCTCGACAGGAGCTGCCATGCACAGACCAACCAGCCTATTGCAGACTCCTTATGTTCTTATGTTATGTTCTCTCTCCTACACTCCCTCCACCTAATTTTCCATTACTAGAAACTAAGATAACATTTATCTCATTTTGAGTCGTGAAAAATTCATCGAGTGACACAGAAAAAGAAAATTGAAATAACTTAGTATAATTGAAAGTTGGACTAATGTAAAATAATGAGAGACCCGAAAGAATAAGAATTAATATATGGATAAAATACGTCTTGTCAGGACTATCAGTAATGGCTCTCTCTCTCTCTCTCTCTCTCTCTCTCTCTCTCTCTCAGGATTGTATTTTTGTCACTTGCTTGAGAACATCACTACACTTCGAGTAAATTTCCACTTCCAAAATCTAATGTGTATACTTAAATAGTTAGTGTGTGTGTTTGTGTGTGTGTGTGTGTGTGTGTGTGTGTGAGGGAAGATGTAATATATACTGTCTCTACTGTGTTTCATTCTTGTGAATTATCTATTTCCATTATACATAATTTATCTCACTGGTGTTTTGAAATATCCCGGGACTTACCTGAAGAACGGTGAAGGGATAATGGTAAGGAACTCAGAGTAATTACTGGTTACGAGTCCACCTCGAGGGTCGTAACCTAACACTGACTTGAGAAATGACTGAGAATATTGACAAAAGAATAAAGAATTGAGGAAGTGACTAATAGTAGCGATAGCAGAGACAAAAGGTAAGAGAATAATTATTTAAAGAGGAAGTAAAACCATCATTATTATAGGTGAACCGATGGATCAGGTAGATTACTAGGCCAGGTGAACCGCTTGATCAGGTGGATTACTAGGCAGGATAGAGCGACGGCCTGGATGGACCCTGGAGCTGGTGAACCCTGGCCGGAAAAGACTGCCATTCCAAGGGTACAGGGATGCGTCCTTTCCACATTCTTCCTTTGGTCGACTTCCTTACGGCGAGGCTAAGAGTGATGGGCGTATAACCCTAGTCCCATCCCGTGTGTGTGTGTGTCTGTGTGTGTGTGTGTGTGTGTCTGTGTGTGTGTGTGTGTGTGTGTGTGTGAGAGCGCGCGCGCGCATCTGCGTAAGTCTTGCTACGTGGCGACCTGTACTGTAATGGTCAGCATGCTCGCCTCGCAAGTGAGTGGACCCGGATTCGATCTCCGGGCAGGGTGAAACTATGGGCAAATTTCTTTACGCCATTTGCCTCTGTCTACCCAGCAGTAATTGGGAACCTGGATGTTAATCGATTTTTGGTTCGTGTTCCGGGGTAATGGTTAGCCAGTGCAGTTGGCGAGCTGTCCGGTCTTCTGGTACTATTCCTTGACACTAGGTCATGCAACCCGTTAACTTAGGGTGTGGTTATTGTATTGGCGACAACTTCTACACCTTAAACAAATTCACGCCTATGTGGCCCTTGGACCGGCCATCCTCGTTATAAGTCCTGCTTCACCATAACTATCACAACTAAGGCCACCAGTGTCTACTGTTGGGAGTGACCTTCAATACTTTGTCTGGTCTGTAAGTCAAAATATGAACGTCCGAGGTTACTGGATCACGCAGGACACTCACCGCCAGCTCTGAGTGACGGTAGCCTCAGGGGCAGTGACCGTATTATCAGTAGGTGTAGGAGGCCTCCCACTTTTAAGTTGTTAGAATAAAAGTTGATGTTAGATAATCAACCTTCTTCTCATCAGAGCTTAAAGTACATCATTTTACTGAGCACAGATGTTGGTTAAAAATACACACACACACACACACACACACACACACACACACACACACGCGCGCGCGCGCGCGCGCGCGCAAACACACACGCACGCAAACACTCGCACCCAGGTAAGAATACCTATCACCGCCTACTGCCTCTACCCCAGCAAAAACTGGCTGCCGCTTCTCTCCTCTTTGACTTCTTTTGTTTTACCTGAAACACACACACACTTTCTCTCTGGTGTGGGAGGGGCGGCGGCGGCAGTGTCTTTCCGGCGTTGGCGCTTGTCTGCCTCGGTATGCAGTCGGACTAACTCGAAAGTATTGACACCTCGTGTGGTGCTCCTCCAAGCGTTGCGGTGTGGAGTAAACGTCGCCCAGGTGAGGGGGTCAATTTGGCACTTTTTTCAGGTTGCCCGCCAGTAGCCTCGATGCTCCTATAGTTAGTGGCCTTTGTTCTCTCCTCTTCTTCCTGTTTATTTTCAACTTATGGCTGCTCTGTTTTTCAATAAACCGTTATTTATCATTATAGATACACATACATACACATATTACTACACATTCACAAAAATCAAATACACACCAAGAACATTCTCAGACACACGTACACATCCACTGTTGTGTAGTGTAAGTAATTATGTGGTGATTTATGTGATAATACTCCATTATAACTGTGACTCCTATTATTGTTTTTATTATATTATATTGTCTTGTTAACTGTGATCTGAGATGTACAGTAGTAGTGTATGTTGCCCCAATCTGAACCTTTGTTATTATTATGAGTAGTAGTAGTAGTAGTAGTAGTAGTAGTAGTAGTAGTAGTAGTAGTGTAATAATGGCATGTTTGCAGAGTGTTATATATTGCTTAAATTCAGTTTATGGTACAGTAATTACTGAGTCCCAGCCAAAACCCCACCAAGTCTACCAGAGCCAGCGGCCACTACTCGGGGACAGGGAGTGTGTTGTACAGCAGCAGTTACTTTACTTTATCCTTTAGCCGCTTGGGCTGTTGGTCGCGTCTCTGCTACACACTGTTGGTAAGTACTGGCCATGCACTGCCTCCTGAATGTATTTGTCCCTGCGCTAATGTTGCTCAAGTCTGGTCTTGAATGAGCTCACACTCGGTGCCGTCACAACACACTCTGGTAAGCTCTTCCAAGGCTTCACAATTCTCACTCCTAAAAAGTTTGCCGTGACAATATTCTGAACATGTGGCTTCTTCAACCTTAAGCTGTGACCCCTAGTAGGGCGGGCGTCCACCAGCTCCAGGTAAGAACACGCGACTAAGTAATGACCACGGATGTGTTTATAAACTTCTATAAAGTCACTCCTTGCCCGCCTATAGTATAAGATAATCTAGACAATTGTAGGCTTTCTAAAATCTGTGTTCCGCGGACGCCGTAGAGAGGTTCACCAGTCTGGTGGTTCTCGTTTGGATATTTTCAATCAACTGACAGTCTCTAGCATATCTTGGGGACCAGTCGGGGTGACAGTACTCCAAACGGGGAAGCCTCTCACTTTTGAGGAGCGTCACAAGGGATGGTCTGTCTAGGTGTGTGTGAAGTAGTAGTGGTGTTATTTTCATCATTATTTCAGACATTCAGTAGACTTCACAGATATTAAGATCCAATGAATAAGAAAGTTCATGGTATGACATTGTCTGTGACCAACGTAATCCCCAGACGACTCCCCGAGGCCGTGTGATTCAGCTGTAACAAGGTCACTTTCCTCCACTCTTGACTCTGAGATCACCACCACACGACTTTAGCGTTCTGGGATACGTCAGTTGTTCTCTGAGAAAATCATCGCTTATAGGTGTTTGAGATCATAATATTACGGTAACATGGAACTTGGAGAAGATAAATGCCGTCACTTTGGTTTAATCATATGTCTGATAGGTCTTGTCTTATCTATCAAGAATTTAATATCTAAGTCCCCGGTATATCCTACCAAAAGCAACACTCTACACACATTTCTTTATATACAAATACACAGTTCCACTCAGGCATATACTTTTAACTAAGGTTCGCGGGATCGGATACTGAGGCACGGGTAGTTCCTGATCACTGGAAGAACACAGTCCCTCTCACTCCTTCCAGTAGACTTTAGGTACACCCGGTAAAGATACAGGAGCTCCCCTACACCACTGCATTAAAGAGAGAACCGAGTGCTTGAGACCCAATTCCTTGTCTTCAGAGCAACACACACACACACACACACACACACACACACACACACACACACACACACACACACCGATTACATTTTTAGAGGAATTTACAGGACCCAATATCTGGCTTTTTTCTTGTTCAAGGGGCAGTAATTCAAGTGAGATGCCGAGATACAATAAAGAAAACTGGAAGTACAAGAGAAGAGCTATTGATGGAGTTAACGAGTGTACCACAAAGAGTTCCTCACAGCCACCCCTTCCCTCTGTTGCTACACTTATCCACACCTCTCCTGCTGCTGCACTTATCCACCCTTATACCCCCCACACACAAACACCTTCTGGCGGTGCAACAATACACAGCTTTATATTTTGTGCCAGATGGTGTAGGTCAGTGCCAGCTGCGGAGGTTGTTTAAATACTCTCTACCTAGTTACCGTGGGTGTATAATCACGTACCGATATAATTAATGGTTAGGTTAGGGTAGGTTCACCAGCTGGTGAGCACGCTGGTGAGCACCTGCCTGCCTCAGCTGGTGAGCACGACACCTGCCTGCCTCAGCTGGTGAGCACGACACCTGCCTGCCTCAGCTGGTGAGCACGACACCTGCCTGCCTCAGCTGGTGAGCACGACACCTGCCTGCCTCAGCTGGTGAGCAGGACATTTGTCTCAGCTGGTGAGCACGACACTGAGGTATGACTTACTTGTCTTCGTTAACTGTCACACTCTACTCAGACAAAACACTACAGATGTCTCAGCTTTAACACACCTGTTCTAACCAAACCTTACACGTGTGTCATTCTGCACGTGCCACAACTGTCTCCCATATAAGAAAATATACTGTATGTCTAAGTTAACACAAGCTGTAGAGCACATACCTGAGCTAACCTTAATAAGCACCGTCCCACCTGTTTACCTTAATGAGAGAGCAGTTCTTACCTGAGGTCGCGGTTGTCGGCGCTGAGTGTGATGACGTCAACGGTGGTGTTCACTTCCTGTGTCTTGCTTGACCTCCATCTAATCTGTGTGATGCGGTGACCTCGTTTGACCAGATCCTCCCCGAACCTCCTGAGGGTCAGTTCATGGCTCCCAGCGTAGATTGGATGAAGGATGAGAATATTGGCTCCTTCGTTCCCCCTGGCAGGATCACGGTGATGGTGTAGATGGTGTGACGGATGTGGTGGATGGTGTGAGGGGTGTGGTTGATGGTGTGAGGGGTGTGGTTGATATTGTGTCGGGTGTGGTTGATGTTGTGAGGGGTGTGGTTGATGTTGTGAGGGGTGTGGTTGATGTCGTGACGGGTGTGAGCTTCCAGGAGCAGCTACTCTCTGGGTCACCACCATACACACCAGCACCACCACCACCACCAGCTGTCCTCCCAACCGACTCATCCTACACACTGCCGCCACTCACACTGGTTCACCGTCTCAATACCTTCATCATCTTTTATCTTGTTACGTCCAATTTAACTTCGTATTCGTAATTTTTATCTATATTTTGCGTGGGTTTTTTAGTCTTAATTGTTCTGACGTCCTTATGCCTTTCTCTACACTAAGAATTATCGATATTTTCAGATATTTTCACAACGATTCACCTCCTTAGTACAACAAGTAAACCAATATATATAGATCACTTGAGTTCACTCCTTATACTGTGTGCTAGCGTCTGTCTCACTACCAGGTAAGAAACAAGTCTTACGAGTTGTCGGTGAAGTTATTAATAATACGTTGCTTGAGGGAATGCGGAGGAAGTCATAAAATCCGGGGGGGGGGGAATGACATCAAGCACCGACAACACCTTAGTGTACATAACGTCGACACATGCAGACAAGCAAAACTGTAACAAGCTGACAACGCCTTAAACCAGCACACAACCCCACAAAGAGCGCATAATGCCAAGTCCTTCCCTTTCACCACACATCCTATGACACCCCAGGCTGTGAAAACATACACACATACATACATATAGTATACACACACAAACACACACACACACACACGCGCGCGGCCCTGTAGGAGCCAGTCATAACTGTAGACTAAAGCAGAAAATGGGATACTGATCCTGCGGTACAGCACGGGGAAGCACATACCGGAAGGGTTTGTACGCGGCCCCCACAACCCTTAGAGCTCAGCTGGGACACCACAACCCTTAGAGCTCAGCTGGACCACCACCTACACCCTTAGAGCTCAGCTGGGACACCACCCTCTACCACCACCCTTAGCGCTCAGCTGGGACACCACCTACACCCTTAGAGCTCAGCTGGGACACCACATACACCCTTAGAGCTCAGCTGGGACACCACATACACCCTTAGAGCTCAGCTGGGACACCACATACATCCTTAGAGCTCAGCTGGGACACCACATACACCCTTAGAGCTCAGCTGGGAGAGAGCCACCTACCTTAGAGCTCAGCTGGGACTTCAGAGCTTCTGGCTCAAACAATAGGTTTTTTTCGATTTCCAAGAGATGCTAGACCATTTTATTTGACTTTTACATATATATTTTCTAATTTGTCATTGTATAATATACTGTAGTAGTTTCTTCTGTTAAACTATTCTTATAAAGTACTGGTGTGTTGGATATGTTATTGCAAAGACCTTGGTGACCTTGGCCTCTGTAGTGAGTGAGTGGGAGTGGCGAGGTGATGGGCCCTCGTGACGTCACATGCAGAGAGCGTATTTTAGTCCGCCGTTTGACCCAGTGTTCTAAAATTAGATCATGGTGTTAACAGAGCCCACGCCATCATGCAGCTTTAGGTCGTCTCCCAGTATCAAGAAACTCTACAAAATACACTAACTTGAATCATTAACACCTTCAGGACAGGAGGGGAAAGTTGAATCCAGTGGGCCACCTCACCGCAACGCAACGCACCTCACCGCAACACAACGCACCTCACCGCAACTCACCCTATATCATAAGTGATGAACATTATTTATGAAAGACTTAATCGAAACACTTAAAGATATTACTAATACTGTGAGGATGATAGAGGAATATGCCGACCCTTAGATAAATATGAAGTGTACAGTGATGATGGTTGGTGTGTAGTGGTGAGTGGTGCAGGGTGTTGAACTATGCTGTAAGGCGGAGTGAATAGCGTATGTCGCAAGCACAAGTTAGTAGAGTAGGGAGGTGTGAAGGGGGGGGAGGGGGTATGTGAAGGCGGCACTGGCGGAAGGCGGGAGACGCTCTACTTAGTTCCGCCAGACGATGATGACTGTGTGGGACAGACTGTGGTACACACGCACCTGTCACCTCACTTCATCTACGCTTTCATCTACCGTCTACCGTGTGGTGTTGTGTCATCCTCGTCTGTTTTGTTTCATTCGTTTATTTATATTTGTTCCATTCCATAATCTACTGTTTCAATCCACTGTTCCAGATTATCATTTACTGTTCCATTCTATAATCTACCGTTCCATCGTACCATCAACCCTTCCATCAATACCATCCGCTGTTCCATTCCATTATAAGCTGTTCCATCCTACCACCACCATCAACTATGCTACTCAACCATTCATTGCGCCTAGAAAATAAAGAAAGTGGCAAGACCGACACACATTCAGGCGGAAACATTAAATCCAGGTTTTGTTATGATTGACGCCTGGAGTGTATCATTCACTGTGTTATTTGTCTACAGTAAACAAGTCTTTTTATAATTAAAGAGAAATCTGTTTGTTGTAGAAAAAAAACAGTCTTACGTGTTTGTTTGTGCGTTTTATATTGTGTTTGTTGTTGTTGTTTTATTAGAGTGCACTGTACAGGATGTATTAGATAAATAAAAACATTATTTTTTTTCTTCTATTTAGTTAAGTCATGTGTCAGCTTTATTCAACGTTTTATGGTCGATGGTTTAACTTAATCCCTTAAAGATCACGGTTTAAATATTTGAGGATAATGATTTAACCCTTTGAGAATGATGGTTTAAACCTTTGAGGACGACGATTTAAATAATTGAGGACGGCGGTTTAAACCTTTGAGGAGGGCGGTTTAAACCTTTGAGGTCGACGATTTAAACCTTTGAGGACGACGATTCAAACCTTTGAGGACGTTCTGATCATAGTTATTTTGTTTACCTAAAATGCCTCATGTGTGTGTCAGACGTGTCAGGTGTATCAGACGTGCCGGGTGTATCAGACGTGTCGGGTGTCATATGTGTCGGGTGTCATATGTGTCGGTTGTCAGGTGTATCAGGGGTGTCAGGTGTATCAGGGATGTCAAGTGTATCAGGGGTGTCAAGTGTATCAGGGGTGTCAAGTGTATCAGGGGTGTCAAGTGTATCAGGGGTGTCAAGTGTATCAGGGGTGTCAAGTGTGTCGGTTGTCAGATGTGTCAGGTGTGTCATATGATCAAGACACGCAGAAGTAAACAACTTTCTAAGACAACTGGATCCATAACAGTTAAGTGATGTCTTTAAACCTCCACACGAAAAGTCTTAAGACAAACAAGAAACTCAAATGCAGTTCTGGTAAGTAAATATTGAGGTATAATTCAACTATCTACATAATTAGCCACAGTTAATACTTTTTGATCTATAGTGAAACTTTTATTTAACGGAAATATATAGAGAAGAAAGTCCATTATATTAAGGGTCCTTTAGATGTGAAACCTCCATCTAACGGATTATATAAAGATGAAGGTCCGTTATATAGAGGATTCGTGAGATATAAAAACTCCATCTAACGGATTATATGGAGATAGAAGTCCGCTATATGGAGGTTTCACTGTACTTTAATTTCGTTATGTTTTTATATACTGATCAACACATTAGTATGACTCTGAACTAAAAATAATGTTACTTTGTACGGGGAATTTTCTCAAGTATAAGTTTGTTACTAGAAAAAAGTAATGGATTGTATTAAAGATATATTGTGTGTGTGTGTAGTGATGATAATGCAGTAGTGATGATAATGCAGTAGTGATGATAAGGTAGTAGTGATGATAAGGCAGTAGTGATGATGAGGCAGTAGTGATGATGAGGCAGTAGTGATGATGAGGCAGTAGGGAAAGTGATGCTATACCTAGGGAAGGAGATATGTGATGTGGAATATGGCGTAGACGAGAGAGAGAATGAAGGAGAATTATCAAAGAAAAGTCATAATAATAAGAAATCAGTAAATAAGGAGAAAAGGAATGAGGCGTTGGCAGTAATAGGCGATTGAGTGATAAAGAGAAAGAATATGGATGTTAAGTAAAAGTGTTTCTCAAACGATAAAAACTTAAGAGTCAGGTGTCGGACTGAGGCAACCCTTCGCGTGACATGGCGTAGCGTGACGTGACGTGACAATAAGCGCAATATGACATTCACTACGGTGGTAACACATCGATGGTAGAAGCTCAACCATGTATAAAGATAATTTACACTTTCTAAATTGCGTCAAACTGCGATATTGGGACCTGCGCAGTTGGGAATTCATGTTAGCAATAGTTAGGTACAACACTCGCCTATTGTCCTCAAGTTCAATCATTCGATCCCAGGCACCCCCGGTCCACCCAGCTGATAATGGGTACCTATCTTTATGTATGGGAAAGTTAATATGGTTGATTATTTTATTGATCACACCACCTCCTTGTATACCGAGGCAGTACACAGGTCACACCACTACACCACACAGGCCACACCACTACACCACACAGGTTACACCACTACACCACACAGGTCACATCACTACACACAGGCCACACCACTACACCACACAGGCCACACTACACCACACAGGTCACACCACTACACCACACAGGCCACACTACACCACACAGGCCACACCACTACACCACACAGGTCACACCACTACACCATACAGGCCACACCACTACACCACACAGGTCACACCACTACACCACACAGGCCACACCACTACACCACACAGGCCACACCACTACACCACACAAGCCACACCACTACACCACACAGGCCACACCACTACACCACACAGGTCAACAATACCCCCCGTTAATATGATTGCCCTTGTTTACAGTACTTGCTCGACCACCTGCCTCCCATCCACTAGACCAATCTCAGTCAACTTTAATTAATCCTTCAGGTATTATCGGTAAACATCTCAGGTAACCCGACAAAGATTTTTTAACAAAACTCCTGTTCAGTGTGAAAATTAGATTAAGGAATTTCTTGTGGTTTTGAATATTGTTGTACTTGTTATCAAAATTTACATATCGGTGGTTAATTAGCAGGTGAGGTACAGTTGATAATTAATACACTCTTTAATGATCTGTACCTATAAGTACTGTACTGTAATTAGAATTAACACAAACTATACAGCAAGTGGTGTGTGATTATTTAACACTTAAATCACTTTGAGCATTGACATCCCTTTTACTTAAGAGTACAGATCGACAACTGTCCTAAACTATACATATTAACACAATGTACACTTGGACACTACGTGGAATAAAGCTGCACCATTAAGGTCACTTGGACTTGTTTGGTTCACTGTTCAGTATATACGAGTTACGAGGTGCAGAAGCCAGTACACGCTCGCCGTCAGTCACAACCAATTTCTTACGGACAACTGGACTCGTACACGTGAAGCACCTAAAAGCCGCCGCTGGGAACTGGCGTCTTCTTGAAAAGCGGTCGGCACCGTTATAGGTGGGAGATGACGGCCCTCAGTTGGCTCCTCCGACGGGCGACACAAGGGCCATTTTTGTCTGGAACAATAACTCGTGTGTCGTAACCAAACACATTATTGTCTAACAGCCAAATATATAATTAAAGAAGTGTTTCTCATTTATACGTTCACTAATTTCAATATATATTTTAAGACACAGTTATAGCGTAAAATAAAATAGACTAACACATTGCTTGAATTACCTGCAGGATGCCAGTGAACGCCCCTCCCACATTTATCTCGACCAATCACAGGCCTGGGAGTGCTTCCTCAGGTAAAGCTGCCAGATGTTCATGTAATCATCATAACAATAAATATCACCGTCACACTCTACATAACGTCTGTACACCACACGATTACATACAATTTAATACACACTAAAACCCGCTGTTCCCTCTAAACACAGCTGGCAGAAAGACTAAAGTTAATGGAAGATATATGGAAGGAGGAGGAAGAGCTCTTGAGTCAACCACGCCACAGCAAAACCTGTTACTTTTTCCCGCCATTCATTCCTGCTCGCGTACATCTTCACATTTTCAAGGCCACGTCTATGGTCTTGTTTACACACTTTCGTAGATATTTCCAGGCAGCTGTGTAGAGTGTAGCGTACCTGGCACACACACCCAGCTGCACCATTAACACTCGTTTAGTCTTCAGTCAACATCACACCGACGAAGGCACCAGAGCGCCGCGGGTTCGTGGGTCATCACTTCATACACCCGCAAACACCCACGCCTCTCTGCTCCCACCCTGCTTCCCTCTCGTTACACCGTCACCAACACTACTACTAAACACCAACACTACTATACACTACGACTACAACACGTTGCCACCACCACACTCACCAACACCACAAATCACCACCACCACAAATCACCACCACCACAAATCACCATCATAAGTCACTCACTCACCACCACAACCATACAGGTCATTGGCTTTCCATACACAGTTAAGCCACTAGGCAATTACTCAGCCAATACCTTCTACACCTACGTCACTGAGTTTGGGGACCATGGCGGGCTAGTGTAAGTTGTATATGTTTGGAGAAAATATGGAAACTCTGATTCAACTTTTTTTTGTTACTTTGCCTTGTTACGGGAGAAATCGTTTTTTTTTTTTTTTAATTGTGTGTAATCATAATACCCGTACAGTACAGTTTTGATATTTACATAGTATGGTGCAGCAGTTGTTTTTTTTTTTTCATTTCCAACGGATTCGCTCAGATTGAACGATTCTAGTTCCTGTCAGGGTGGGCGCTGGACTGAGTCCACCATGTTCGGTACATTATCCGTGTGTCATCGCTTTAAGTGGTGATCAGACCGAATGTTCTCAGTCTGGCTCAAGATATCATTAGGAAAATAAGTGAGTGTGCTGTGAGTGTACTGTATGTGTGTGTTTTACGTGTGATTGCATTGGCAGTTTATGTATGTTTACGTACAGTATATATGGATTTCATGCATGTTTGTGTGTTTGCCATTCGTATTACTGTCTATTTTTATATTATTAAAATTTTTAGTGGCTATCATTCGTATGTTTCTGTCTGATAATTCTGGGGTTTTTTTTAAATAACTAGTCAACATTTAGAGAAAGAGAGAGAGAGATTACAAAATTTTATTATTAAAAATTTTAGTCTATCATTCGTCTGTTTTTGTCAGTGTGTTGTGTTTCAAAATGCTGGGAACGATTCCACGAGGCCTAGTAAGCTGAAGCAACATCTGACTACAATCCACCCACAGTATGAGGAGAGAGATCACGATTTCTTCAAGCGCCATGAACAGAGTTTGGGTAAACAGAGACTGGATGAGAGTGGTGCCTTCCAACAACAGAACTTAAGTGTAGTTGAAGCATCATATGAGGTTTACAATGAAATACCAAAGAAGAAGAAGGCCCACACGATTGGTGAAACTTTAATTAAGCCGCGTGTTTTAAAGATGGTCAAGCGGGTTCTTGGAGAGGCAAATGGACGTAAGATTCAGCAGATCTCCTTGTTCAGATGGAGAATTAGTGAAATGTCAGATGATATCATGGAACAAGTGATACAGGAGATTAAATCGTCTCCAACTGGTATGTTTGCAATATAGTTGGATGAGTCAACGGATGTGAGCTCTTGTGCACAGCTACTCGTGTTTGTTAGTTATGTATTCTTGTGTGACATCAAGGAGGAATATCTGTTCTGTACACAGCTTGAGACCACCACAACAGCTTTAGATGTGATGGAAAAGTTGACTTCTTTCTTCACAGCTGACGGGATCACCTGGGAAAATTGTTGTGGAGTCTGTATTTGATCTCAGGAACGATTCTGCTGCCAGAGACCTCTATGAAGAAAAATCTCTGCCTGTATTCTGGTGATCAATGTATCAGTCATATCCAAAGTTAGTGAGATCGCACTTCTTGTCCTCTTGCCATTTTCTACTACTTATTTATGTGAATCTGGTTCCTCCACCTTCTTCAAATAAAGAATAAAAGCCGAAACCGGTTACATGTGGACCCAGACATGAGATGTGCTTTATCAGTGACTCAACCTCGAATCAGCGACTGACTGAAAGGAAACAATGTCATCCACCCTATTGAACAAAATATGCATTTCTGGTTAATGATTGTGAACATTAAAAGAAAGGAAGAGAACCAAAACAGTTTATTTTCATCATTATTTGTGAGGGGCTCGGGAGAGAACTGAAGGGGAGCCACGAGGATTATGGATCTCAGAAGTAATGAATTATTTTAATTAACTCTTGGTCTAGTTTCATTAGTCTTGGAACCTTAATTATACCTCACCTGTATATCCATTGGTGAGAGAGAGAAGAGAGATAGAAGGAGACATGAAAGTGAAAAAGTGGGATCGACAGATAAGACAGGGAGAGATAAAGAGATTACGAAGAGAGAGGGAGAGAGAGATCAAAGAAAAGAGAAAACGTGTGAAAACAAAAAAGAGAGAGAGATCAAGGAAACAAAGAAAACGGAGAAAAAGTGAAAAAGGAAAAAAAGAGAAATCAAGAACAAAAAAGAGAAAGGGAAACTACAGCAGGTACTTACACAGAGCTACACGAGATGTATCAAAGAACTCAACTGATATTTTTTGCCGAGATTGTTAAAATACCTTGATGCACTGTAGCGTGTCAGAGGCTATAGTCACAAGCACTGAGGTGTTACTGGGAACTGGGAAAAGTCGGGTTATATGAGGAGAATTTACACCCAGAAGAGCACTAAACCAGTCCCTTCCCGACCACGTTGAACAGTTAGAGGTGATTTATAAATAACTCGTATGTGAAGGTATTAAGGAACCTGTCCACTAGGGTTCAAGCATCTACTATATAAGTAAAACAGAAAAACAAGTGATGGTATTTATAGCTGGTGGTAGGTGACGTCATCGTGTGTGTGTAGAAAAACACCCTCTGTTTATCTTGTCATCAGTCAGCTGTTTGCGTATTGTGGCAGACAGGTGACATGTTTCACTTAATATTTTCAGAATGTCTGGTTGTTGTTTCTTAGGTTATTTTGTATGAATGTGAATTTATTACATCTTCAGCCTTAAGCCATAGACAGACATGATGTGTAAGGTTATTGTGAAAAGGTAAAGAAAGGAAACTGTTGAAGTAAAAGAAAGAAAATGAGATACAGTAATCCCAAAGAGAGAGTGAGAGAGAGTGGACGCGGGCCCGACTGGACCACAGAATAACAATAAAACCGTTAACGTGGGACGAGCAGTGAGGCAGTTCTCAACGGGAGAATCTTCAAGGCGCCATTACCCTGCTGGTTTAGATTAAATCTTTTTTATTTTTTTATTTTTTTATTTTTTTACGGGCATTAGCCCACCCGGGCACAGGTCATTTTATAATGACCCAAATCAAGGCCTGGGGGAGAAAAATATAATAATAATAATAATAATAATAATAATAATAATAATAATAATAATAATAATAATAATAATAATAATAATAATAATAATAATAATAATAATAATAATAATAATAATAATAATAATAATAATAATAATAATAATAATAATAATAATAATAATAATAATAATAATAATATTAATAACAATAACAATAATAATAATAATAATAATAATAATAATAATAATAATAATAATAATAATAATAATAATAATAATAATAATAATAATAATAATAATAATAATAATAATAATAATAATAATAATAATAATAATAATAATAATAATAATAATAATAATAATAATAATAATAATAATAATAATAATAATAATAATAATAATAATAATAATAATAATAATAATAATAAAATAATAAAAATTAATAAGTAGTAAAAATGAAATTATAATATTAAAAGGGCCATAAATAAATACAAAAAATTAAGGAGAGAACGATATACGTATACTGTATGTTGTATTTGTGTTGTGTTGTGTTGTGTTGTGTTGTGTTGTGTTGTGTTGTGTTGTGTTGTGTTGTGTTGTGTTGTGTTGTGTTGTGTTGTGTTGTGTTGTGTTGTATTTGTGTTGTGTGTTGTGTTGTGTTATGTTGTGTTGTGTTGTGTTGTTATGTTTTGTTGTGTGTGTTGTGTTGTGTTGTGTTGTGTTGTGTTGTGTTGTGTTGTGTTGTGTTGTGTTGTGTTGTGTTGTGTTGTGTTGTGTTGTGTTGTGTTGTGTTGTCAAAGTAAGAGAAACAATTGAGACCCTGCAATTATGTGTAAATGAGGCAGAAAGTCAGATCAGCAACCTGGGACTTGGTCACATATGGCAGCAGGGTCTACCAACACATTATGCTTCCAATATCTTCCCAGGTGGTAGTACCTCCCTGTTTGGTAGCTGCCTACTGCCTACTTCCTAATTACTTATTACTAATTACTAATAACCGAGTGAATATTGAGTTGTTGGTGACCACTCATCTCTCTCATCTCCCATTCCA